CCACGGGATGCGGTGGTTGATTCTCATAACTTGAAAACTAACTATGATTTGCCTCCAGAGGCCATGGCTTCCACTCACTGCAGGTATGTGCGCACGGCATTTAAAGGCCGTGCAGGTGAACTCGTGACCTTTTGAGGCCAGTCACTGTCCTCGGCAGTGGTGTTAACGTACATGGCAGTGGGGTGTGGGTTGTGTTATATCCCAATTAACTTGCATGCTATGACGTTCTGTTTCTGCCCCCCATGGCAAAGTGACAAAAGCTGTTGGCTAGTTGATGTAGAGGACTTGCGGTCATGGTTCGGTTCCTGATGGTGGCGGAGACCTCGCACCACTGACGAGCTTTATTGGGGCGAAACAACTATCTTGGTGCTTTCCCGGATTGGTTGTTGGGCCACCTAGCATCTGACTTGCTGGGACAAATCAGTAAAATCTCATCAAACTTCTTAATCCAGCACTGTTTTTCCTGCATTAGCTTGGGTGATGAAGTACATACTGCCACGCACCACAACATGTATTTTACGCTTGCTAAGGATACATCTTGGACTTTATTAACCAATTATCTTCCAGGCGTCGCCTGGGAAATATTCACAATGACGTTTAGCACGCTGGTAGTGGACGCATCGGAACAGAACTCCGTCCATCGTCAAATCAACAGCAGTCATTTCTGAGGAACAAAACACGTAAATGTTGGTTGCTGATGGATCTGGAATGGCGAGCTCACAAGGACTGACCAAATGCTGACACCTAGACTGTATACGTGACTACAACAGGAGTTGATGAAGCGATTGTTCACGAACCGCAAACTTTTATACAGACACCCTAATGGCCTTTGTAAGGTGCAGCGCGGCGTTCCAGCACTGGTCACGGCTGATGGATGCACACAGCAAGCAATGGGAGCAGTCAGTCTGTTGTGTTTTCATTACTTCCATGCGTTCTCGCGTGACACGAGCGCAGATATTTTCCTACTTTCTAATATTTCGCTGCCAGGTTTTTATACAACATCACCACTGGAGGCACTGTGTTGAAGAATGTGGATGTTGAGTTTTGAGTACCCACCAGGTGTCTTGCATTGCGACACGCCACCTCTATTTTGGCCTTGGTTGACTGCCATTCCGATCATTAGGGTCGTATTCGAATTGGAGGGTTTCGTGTTACTTTCTCCCAAAACTGCACTCCACGACCGACCGGTCGTGTTGAAGAAGTTGTTATTCCTGCTCATTCACAGTTCTCTTTGAGTCAATAGCATCCAACTATAGGTCTTGCAGGCGGTAACCAGTGATCTAGTGGTACCACTGGCCGTTTTCTATCAGCGCTGTCTAGAGGAGCAACAAATTCCACCAGTATGGAAACGAGGTATCTTCACTCTTATTCATGAGAGGGGTAGTCGCACTGACCCTACCATTTACAGGGTTTTATTAATTACGTCCAAAAACTAGGAGCGGACGCACTCACGTACTGACGTACCCCGGCACGCTAAATTGCCAACTGTCCAATGGCGCAAATTGCTTTCCTGAACGTGCCGGCAGGTGTGAGATGGGACACAGAGGCGGGACCTGTGTGTCTACGATCGCAGGACACATCAAGGGAACCGGGGTTGTTCGGCTGTACGAAGTGAATGTTAGCCAAACACCGAAGCCGCACTGGACGTGTCAGGATTCGATCGATTGGTAGTCGGCTTTGACGCAGATGAATAAGCCAGCGAAAGGAATCCCCGACAGGTGGTTAGTGGCTCGCTGTTTTAGCAATGGAGCAGGAACTTACACCCGTGTCGTCGATATATCCGCGACCGCAGTCACGAATGTGGCGACCCATCAGCGCGCATTGTGCAACTGTATTGTGAGTGTGGGTCCAACGCGGCAGTAGCCCCAAGGCGTTATAACACTATGCGCTGTGCTGCACGGTCCATTAACGAGTGGTATGTGCGTAGAGTGGTGAAGCAATTTGCAAAATCTGGCAGCGCTTGCGACATCAAACAAACCGAACGGCCTCGTACCGTCACAGATGTAGTATCAGTCGGTGCGGTTGTGCAGTAGGTATGCAGTAAGAGCCATCTCAGCATTCGGCAACTCGCACAACATTGCGAAACCACACGGTATGCTGTACATCATATATGGTTTTAAAAAATTCCGACGGTACAGTGCACTGCAGTTGCAAGCGTTGAACACATGTGATTCACAGAAGCGCCTGGAATTCGCCTGTTGGTTTTTAAGCAGCCTTTACATTCCATTATGTTCACCGATGAGGCGATTTTCCGTCTATATGGCGAAGATGTGCAACAACTAACCCACAGCAATGTAGCGCTTCACGTATGCAACATAACACGAAGCTCATGGTGTGGACTGGGTTGACTGCTCGAAAAGTCATTGTGGCCCTTTTTCTTTTCCAGGAGTGTGTCCGGTAGGTTGTTGTTTAACAGTGCTAATGTCTGACCTTTCTTAGCATCCTCGTCCATGGAAAAGTTGCATACCAGCCTCATTCCGCAATTACAGTCGGAAGGGTTACTGAATAATGTTTGGAGTCAGCAACATCGCGCACCTGCACATTCGTCGCCGTCGGTTCGTACCTACCTGAACGGGACTTTCGATGGACGTTGGATCGGTCGCGGAGGACCGATGGAATGACCTGCGCGGTCACCGGATCTGAATCCCATGGCTTTTTTCCTATGAGGATACTAGAAGCGTAGAGTTTATAGAACAAAACCCAACAGCCTGGATGAACTGAAAGCGAACATTGTGAACGAATGTAAGCAGATTTGTTGGAGACATTGCAGAAAGTGCTCGCCAACACCATCCGGTGAATGCTGCTCTGCAGCCAAAATGATGGAGGGCACTTCAAACAACTAATTCGTTGATATCTACAGATATTTCACACATTTCATGTAATTATAGCTAAATCAATGAATGAATGTATATTCTTGATTGCACACGAGAAACATCATCGAAAGCATGATCAATTTGTACAATAGTTGCATTCATGATTAAATTTGTGTGCTGTCTAATGGTGTCACCAGTGTGTCCGGGCAGACTGAAATCTAAGAGCATTGTCAGGTCAAGTCAAGTATTCACTTTTATACACCCACGAAGGGTGCAGTTTCAGCTGTAACAAACACGCGATCGAAATGGTAAAACGAACAATACTATAATCTTAGAAAGTGCTCCTGTCAGCATGATTCCCTTTAGCAGCGAAAGCCGCTTAACGAAAGCTTCCGGGTTCGCTAGAAGCCAGTTGTAAGGCTATAACAGCTTTTGTCGGGATTGTCTTTTGCCATGTATTGCGATAGCAACTGGCGCCCATCGGTCATTGCATAGGGCCGGGCTGTTTTCTCAATTGCAGCAACAGCGAGCCACTAGCCATTTCGCAGGGATCTCTTTTGCTGTCTTTTTCACGTACGTGGAAGCCGACTACCAATCGATCGAATCCTGACACGCCCAGTGCGGCTTCGTGTTTGGCTAACACTCACTTCTCACAGCCGAACGGCATCGGTTCCTTTGGTGTGCCCTGTGATGGAAGCATGAAACGTCCAATGCGGCTTCGGTGTTTGGCTAACACTGACTTCTTACAGCCGAACAGCCCCGATTCTCTTGATGTGTCCTGCGATCGTAGACACACAGGTCCCGTCTCTGTGTCCCATCTCACACCTGCCGACACGTTCAGGAAAGCAGTTTGCGCCATTAGACAGTTGGCAATTTAGCGTGCCGGGGTACGTCAGTATGTGAGTGCATCCGCTCCTAGTTTTTGGACGTAATTAATATAGCACCCTGTACTGTCTGATAACGTGGTTTTCTGTACTTTCCCAATTTATGGAAACAATACTCGCATATGTGCTGATGCAGTATGTGGAAACGTACGACTGAGTAGCCCCGGAGCAACATGGATTCCTATCTCTTCCTTTAAGTGATTTCGCGCTGCAGCCCCGACTCTTTAGCTGACGCAGCTTTCAAATGTGACCTCCCCAGAGTTTGACTAGTTCTTATTATTGTCAGATATGGCAACTGCGTGTTTGTGCAACGGCACGTATACATTGATCTTATCCTAGTAGCTTATTCACAGTGACCGGCCAAACCAACATCATAAGTCCGTCCGAAAATTAACTGCAATCGAACTGACATCATCGGTCTCGCTCACAAGTGAATACGATTCCCGGATGAGGGGAGAACAGATGTTCTCCAACCAAGCATTTAAATGCACCGACTTCATGCACTGTTGACGTAGCTAGCTCCGGTGCTGTTTCGTCTCGATATACTTCGGATCAGTCACTCCCCCCACTCTCCCGAATGCTCTCACTCAAACCGAATTTCCTGTGGTGTGTGTGCGCGCCTACGTGTCGTCTGCATGCGCATGCCTGAGCATACAGCAATTTCTCATGTGGTTCGGGTGTTGTTTTACCCACCGAGCTGAACACTTCGATGGCAAACGTTTCCTTCATCAACGTAGGTAACATGTTCAGTGCGCGATAATAGGTAACATCGGTGGGGAACACCGGTCCCCATTCAAGTCGTCGATCAGTGAGGAAACGTCTGGAACCGAATTTCTTAACTCGGTGAGTATATCGACTCCCAAACGGCTAACCCGAAGAACCAGTATTAGGAATTGCTGTTCGTGGTTTTTTTGACTGGCCAGTTAACGGATGTTGCTCGATTGATTCGACACCCAACCCATGAGGTAACATCGAAAGCGTTTTTTTTTCACGGCTTAATCGGTTTTTGCGTTTACCTGACGCTCGATTACACTGTAGTTATTCCAGAGAAGCATTGTAGTTGAAGGGCCGCATCGTATGGCACTTTCCACATCGTCGCTGCTCATGAAGCCACATTGATGGTCTCACTAATCAGAGTAGGCCGCGTCGCTGTCTGCCATCCTAGTCAGGCCTTTCTCTGACTACTTTCATTGTTTTCTCTTCACTATGAAATTTGCATTCTATCTAAACATGTGTGTGCTTCCGTTTCCGTTGTAGGAAAACTCTGTAAGTGTTCACCACTCCGTTTTGCTCTCCGTTTCAGCCAGGCGGCATTCGGGATTGTGCGTCATAACGACTACATCCACAGCGACCTGCTTGCCAACATGAAAGAATATACTACATTCTTCCTTCGCAGTGTTCTCTTTCAAAGCCTTATTGGTGCTCCTTTTTTCCGTCATCTGGTTAGTTCAAAGGGTCATTGTATCTTCCCATCGAACCGTAACCTGTTAGCCAAAATGAGCACCATGTGTTGACAAGCTGAATCTAAGAACAACGCTCGTCACTTATCGGGTAACTCACTACTCCTCGATAAAGTAATGTACCCCATTTTGTGTCCCATAGTTCATCGGCGCTCCTTAAGTCGACGCGACTGTTTTTGCAAGTTGCGTTCCCTATGTGCTAAACACGAGAGGCGTGTCCCACCCGTCTACGAGCCGCGGGTCCGGTTACAGTTTTTTGTTAAACAAAGCATCTGCATACGAATCGACCACAATCCTTCTTCGTCGCCGGTGGATCGGTCGGTCACCTCCTGTGCACGTGCTACTTGATGTGTCTCTTTCTTATCCGGCCGCGAGATATGCGCATTAGGTCTGTTTCATATGCTCCATCAGTGTCGGGAATGTATCACCACTCTGGTTATGCTACCGGCTCACTGGGCTCTAGTTCGAAATCACATAGCCACAGTTATACGCTAACTGCTTATACCTGGTCAGCCTAACTACGTGGGACGAGTGTATATGTCGTTTGAAACTCATTGCATTCCACCTCAGTTCGCAGTCCTCCGGTGGTCTGACCCACATCGCAGCCACATCCCATACTTCCGATCTTTTCAGGACCATGTTTGCACATTCAGGCATCTTGACTGTGTCCAACAATCATTCACCATTACTTATGATCCCACTGGTAGCCTTGGAATGTGGATGCGAAGGCACTGTGGACTGTAATTGCATATCGTATATACTGTTGCACTGGTTCAGGCTGCTTTTTTCTCGATGCAGCTGATCTCTGTACTCTTGGTTCCATTCATTGCAAGCATTTCTAGCATCCTCTAAGTCCACTGGCTCTGTGTATGTGAGGGTACAGAATCTGACGTCATTTCTCAATCTGCCCCGCATACTGGGCTCACAATGCCAATCAGTGCTCATCCAGAAACTCTCGTCTATCTTGACCATAGAAGTGCTTTGAGGCAAACATGATAACCAAGGACGCAACCAGCGATGGAATTCCTCCTCGATTGTTAATGAACCTAGCCGGTTTTCAATTTATAAGGAAACTTACTTACTTCTCCCTACTGGTAACCAGAGTAAGAAACGGAGCGCTCATCTAACGTGTTCGTACATACATGCCCCAACTTCACCTTCTAGCTGTTTAGACCGCTATGTTCCTTCGGAGAATGCGCGAGGGAACGGAAAGGCTACCTAGGGCAATCCCGTAATAATGATAATAGTGGTACCGAGAAAACTTGCCTACTATTGGACGGATCGTATTTACGTATATATCATGCTCACGTTTGCAGCGCTGTCAACGCTTGGGATATATGCTGGAGTATTGTGGTGGCGGCTTTGTTTAAACCTTCATTTGGGGTTTTCACTGTCGTTTCCTATCCGTTCACGGGCATCTCATTTGTTTGCTTATGGTGCAGATAGGGGTACCATGATGACGGTGGGTTCATGAAAGGGGACGAAACAATCATAGCCATCAATCAAAATCAGACGAGTAAGACACAATCGTGCATAATAGACTAGAGTAATACCGGGCAAGTTGTTTGTGAGTAGCAGCAACCCTATACTTCGAGCAGTTGTAATCAGAAGAGAAGAGGAGAAAGCTGTGTTTAATGCAGCAATATGGTTTTATACACGCCTTCAATGCTTTAGCTGCGTTAGCCGAGTAGTGCAAGGTAGTATGCACACTGGTAGGAATTAAGGCAAACTGGGATGCTTAAATGTTCCTAAATCTAGATGTCGGATTGACCTGATCGACCAAGAAGTGCTGTGGGTTACATGAAGGCTGGAAACTGAGCTTGGCTTTCCTTCCAGTCTTCACTTTCAGATGGTGATCTATGGCTGTTTGATCGTGTAGCGGAAAAGGTAATGTTGACATGGGAGATGTAAAGCGTCTCGGTTGGCTTCTCCTTACAAAGCGTAGAATTATTCCATTCTAAGCCAGTGCTAAGTAGACAAGTGAGAGATCTACAACCTAGATTCTGACCGCTCCCTTTCGATATAATCCCTTTTGCAATTGGTGCAAGTCACAATGACAAAATGCACGCCCCAAATGGATATGGCCCATTCAAAAGTCAATTGTGACTTATGTATTAAAACTGTTAACTCTGGTCCAGTTTGCTTTAACTGTCAAAAACCGTACCATTCGAACTGTTTAGGGATAAGTGCACTCGCAACTAGACAATACAGCAGCAAAACCGAAGCATTTTTGTTCTGCCAGGTGTGCAAATCCATCCCTGTTAGTTGTGTAATCTTCCTAACGAGAAAGTGTGAAAATTTGACGCAAACACTTGAGCAACTGATGAATGCATCTGTGAAAGTAAACAATGCTACACTTGCGTCTGATCGAACACCTACAAACTCCCGTTTAGGCAGAAAAAGAGGGCCAGACGCCCAACCTCATTACAGGGACTCAGTCCCCAACGGCCCCTAGCCACATGACTCCACTAAGTGAACAAATCGTTTACAACCCACCCGCTTCTACGTTCTCCAAGGGTGTAATAACAAGTAATTCTGTTGACATAATCGAAACACAAAACTCCAGAGAGCCCATGGTAAAGAATAACTGGACATCCTACGCAGTAGTTGCTTCTAGGAAAACGCTGTCAAAGACATCTGTGACTCCACTTACCGGTGAGGGCAAAAACCGTGCCTCAACATCCATAGGCACTCGCGACCGCATGTGCTACAGCACCATGCGCTCGACGTAGATGGAGTACAACCCATCGGCGCCTGTCGCTTCCGCACTTGCCGCTTCTTCTCTGCATGCATGAGGGCTTTCTCCCGCACCTCGGCAACTGCCTTCGTGATCAGATCGCGCCATGCATGCCGATCAACCGCCTTCGATTCCCATGACCTGCAATCAAGATTAAAACGTGAGAGGCTCACTTTGATCATGTCCTGGTAACGCAACTTTGGTTTCCCTACGTGCCGCTTCCCATACTCAGCTGACCTATAGGTTGTTCCAACTCGGTACTCAAGCTTCCCGAATGCCGCCGTTGCTTTCGAGACGCGGATACGAGCTCACTGTGTAGCTGCTGGTCAGTCGACATCACACTCCCAAGGTAGCAGAAGCGGAGCTGTTCCCAGGCTAGGGTTCCTGCATTAAAACGACGAATGTATCGCTATCGCCAATGCGGTCCACAAATCCACAAAAGACAAAATAAACCTAGTGCTCTTAAGTTACGAACTACAAGGCGGAATCATGATGCCTTAAGTCTTGTGTGCACCAACGTTCCTGAATCCAAATCCAACGCAATAAGGGGTAAACTGATAGACGATCGTAGTCAGTGGGATTCCATCTGTAGTGCCATCAGCATGCGCGCTTAACCCAGTACGCTGAGACCCATCGCTCGACACCTATACTCCTTACACTATGGTGAGCCTCGACTCGGATAAAACGGAATCCATTCTGCTCGCTGTGAATCGACACCACAGAGCATCAAACGGAGTATGTATTTTATCGGATATTCCGTGAAAAGAACGTTAAAATGATATCAACAATCAACAGGGTAGTAAAAAACACGAACTGAAAACCGTCATTATTCATGGCGTCCCCGAGTCTCAAGTTTCATCTCCTGAAGAAGCTCAGGCACATGACCTGGAGCAATGGCGATACATTCGTGAGGCGCTGTCTTTAAAAAATGTGGTTGATACCTCCCTGACAAGGATTCCCGCGTCATCAAATTACAAATGGTGTGGTCCTAGGTTGCTGAACTTCGTCTTACCGTCTGAGCTAACTTTACAGACAGTTCTAGAGAACTGGAGTAACTTCCGGAACATGCTGCCAACCGAAATTCGACTAAAAGCAGCCGGTTTACGACCAGAGACTACTGGTTACTCAATGGAGAGAACCAACACTGTGGGAACACCAGTTGTTACAGAGTCTGCCACCGAGACTGATCTGACAGCCGTCATAGTATCCGGCGCGACACCGCAGAAAGTGAGTGATCATCAGGATCATCATGAACCTGATTTCATGGCGCAGAAAGTTATTCCAAGTCATTCTCGCGAGCCGAAGACTCTTCAAAAATACGAGTAGCAGCCGACCTCACAAGGGTCGACCAAGTCTCAAACCTGTTGTCTACATCCACAAACAGCCTTCTAACCTATGAACCACTCTCCTGTTTTTATACCAACGCATAAAGTCTTTTAAGCCAACTGACGGAGCTTCGCCTGCGTCAGGCCTCGATGTCAAGCGACCTCGTTATGATAACCGAGACCTGGTTGAGTGAAGCGATCACTGATGCAGAAATCCCACTACCTGGGATGTCTATTCTACGCAACGATCGACCAAGTAGAGGAGGTAGAGTACTAATTTATTATCGCAGCGAACTACACCTTGATCTCATCGATGACCCAGATGTTTAGATTCTCGATGCGCTTTGTTGCCGTCTTCACCTAATCCGTGGGGACGCATGTTTGTTGGGTGTTGTTGGGTATCGCCTTCCGTCAGCTACTTTGGAAATGGACAACCGCCTAGCCTCCACAATGAAGACCATTCTCTCACTGTCGTACAGCCACATTCTCCTGGTTGGTGACTTCAATATTCACACCATGGAAATACCAGACTGTATCAACGAACACTTCAAAATGAAAGTACAGGAGATAATTAGTGGACTACCAATCTACAATCACATCACATCTCCCGCAAGATGCAGGACGGGAAACAAACCGGGTGCCCTGGATCTCGTATTCACCAACGAAGAGCTTATGATCGAAACGGTATCGATAGACAGGCCTTTGGGTAGTAGTGACCATGGAACGCTCATGTTCAATTACATCTGTTATGCAGAGTATTCCACCGAAAACACAGTGGAGTGTCAGCTCATTACGGATTACGACGCTCTAA